CATTAGTGGGATATGGCCATGGATTAGAAAGATGTGACAGTTACATGTTACTAATAGCATTTTGTGCTATTGTCATTAGGAATAGCTATAGACAGCACATTCAGTTATTGCTAGAAAGTTTTTATGACCAATTTTTTAATTTCAAAAAGTAATAGACCAATAAAAAATTAAGCGTGACCATAGATTTTATAAAATCTGCCCAACACTGATCATATGCATTATAGTTACAAATCAATGAATTAGCATCAGTGCATAACAATTAAAAGTCATGAAGTTAAGTACAATAATTGCTACTTGCTAATTAAGGGAAAGTGTAAACTAATTAGCAGCTACTGACCTACTATAGGTTGTAGGAAGTTCTTATGTCATCAGAACTGGTTTTAGACAACTCTGAATGAAGGAAACTGAATTGCTGAAACTGACTCCATTATCTAAAATCAAAATAATTTATTTTGTCACAAATTCATTTTTACCTGCATGTCTATCTTTTTAGTTCCATGGAACAATTTTTTAACGGTACTGTTAGCATTTTCAAACTCATAACACGAGTTGGCCCATAATGGCCCCAAGTCCTTTACCATGTCTGTTAGATGGAGTAAATAGTGCATATTGATAGTGGCATATCGATCACCTGTAGTAGTTAATTTATCAAGCCAATAATAAATTTGGTGTATGCACATACCATATAGATTGACAAAGGTTTTATGAAACTCAATTGTGACCATAATTGACAAAAGGTACCTTATGGCGGATTTTGAAATTCATCATTATAATGAAAAACATCAACCTGTGAGTGCTCTGTTGGACAACCACTGCTTCTAAAAGCTACATAGTAACTTTTCGCATCCTGTGGAGTAATTTTATGATAAATGGAGCTTAGGAAGTTGGATTTTTTTGGCTACAAAGACAAACTTCACTACCAGCCATAAGGTGCCTTTTGTCAATTATGGTCACAATTAGTAATTTCTTGCTGTAATCTAAATCCTCATCACAAATCGAATTTTTGTTCAAAATATATATAGCTATTACAAGTTGCTGTAGATTTTTATAGTAACTACCTGGAAGAACATCTCTCATGCAAGGTAAAGAATAAAACTGTAAAAAATACTGGTACTCCGACGCTGCACAAAAAAAAACAGTAGTAACTGATTTTCGAGGAAAAAGACATACCTTTCCAGTATTTCCTTTGATCCAGTGATGTTGTACATTTTGTAGTTTCATAGGTTGGCAATATTTTTTGAAGGCGTTCGTTAACTTTCAAAAGTTTACTTTGACAATACCATGGCTGTGAGTGATGACATGTATCAAACCAAAGTGAGATTAAAGCTTTTGTAACACCACCGTAAATGCCAAGCATGGGATCAATAGCCACACCTCTCACAATATCGAAATGTGGAAATGTAGCCATGATTAAAGAGTTTTCGATTCGATATACACTGTTAAAACTGAGGTGTTGGCATACACTCGTGGGTGTCACAAATTTGGGTGTTGTTTACAATTGGGGTGTTGAATCAATCTAGCTTGGTGTTGTTCTATTGAAAGAGGGGTGTTACTACAACACTACAACTTGTGTCAAAGTTAAAGGATAGCCATGACACCCTTACAGGTGTTGTAATAACACTGTATTTAATACAGTGTACCTAATTATTTACACACATAATGGGTAATTCTGTACAAATAAAATACTCACAGGAGTCTCCATATCTTGTGATATTAGTGATTGAACATCTTTAATGTAATCAGCATGTGTTCGTATTTGTCCGATTCCATTAATTACTTCAGGCGGTGCATTGTGTGGATACACACGTAATCTTCCTCCTAATACATTAAACTAAAATTATTATCTCTAAAAACTACTATAACTTTGCCAGGATGCAGGCACCTAGTGCAAGCATATTGGCCATTGTGACCAACAAAACCTGCTGCAAGATTTTCTGCTGGTATATCATATACACCCGAAAAAAGCACAACTTTAATTATTCTCTTTGATCCATTAAATGTAACATCTATTCCTATAAAACAAAAACTTTATTATGTAAGCAGCCAAATATTTTAATCTTGGAACAATCATGTTAGTCACATATTATGTAAGTTAATAAGTAAAAATTACCTTCATTTTCCAACTTCTGTAAAGCAGTTTTAGTTGGTTTCATAAAAGTGTTATTAACTGGGTGCTGATTTTCAAACTATAATCCAGCCGCAATCATATTTTTAACCTTTTTTCTAATAAAATACAAATAATTATATTAAATTGAAACCTCCCTTATTATATATTGGACACAATAATCATGCATAATGACATACATCATTAATTATTACTTCATTAGTGGTGGCAACTCATTAATTTGAAAAAAAATTGGCCACACATCTTTGCCAGAGGATTGAAAGACAAAAATACCATCTATATTATGCTTGAGGCTTATAGCGTCATGACTAAGGACATTCTCACTCTTCTTGTTGGCATACAGCATGCCATCATAAATATCTTCAATATTGGCATCAGTTTCCTTTTCCATTGTGTATGGGTATGACAGCGCTATTTGTATATCCGGTCCTGTGTGCATAACTACATAAGTACTGGGTGATACAAATTGACAAACTTGATAAAATTGTCTTCAGTTGTCTTTCCAATGGTAATTCCGTAAAATAGCCCCATGATGTCGCATTACATGTAGAACAAGATGATGATCCAGTGTTCACAATATCTTTACACGTCATGCAGTAATGATAATAAGCTGGGGGTGTGCTTTGCTTGTTAATTATTTTCCTAAATTGCCAAACTGATCTATTGCAAAAAATATACCCGCACCAAGTAATGTTTATATCATA